CAGGAATGTTACATCCTCCATCTGTTTCCTGCATTCTGTAACTCACGACATGTCTCCTGATGCTCTTCTTTACTTTTGCATAATTCAAACAGCAGTTTTCATAGGAACCTGAAAATAAATCAAAATTATATTTAGTCATCTATCTATCTATCTATCTATCTATCTATCTATCTATCTATCTATCTATTTACCTACCTACCTACCTACCTACCTACCTACACTGAAGAAACGTGTAGAACACATTGACTTAAACGTAAAATTTTGAAGTAAAAAGACTAAAGTAGTATTTTCTTGTAAAATGCACTCCAATAGTCTTTGTTTTACAACTAAAAAAAAAAAAGTAATTAATTGTTTTTTTTTACCGTGTATCTTTTTACGCTGTAAAAAGTGGTAACCTGCCATTGTTAGCATTTTTTTTAACTTAATTTAACCCATAGAAGTTAGTTTGATGGTATAAATCAGTGTATTTAAGGTGAATCAGTGACGTTAAAATATTTTTGGCTTGAATAAAACCCATTAAGATGCTACCATTGTAAGTGATATATTTTTTTCAGTGTATATGCATACTTCATACTTCTTCATATATCATTTTTATATTATGTTGTACTTAAATCCCATTAAACCCTTGCATTTAATAACAAAAAAAATGTTTTAAAAACTGTCTAAAATCTAAAATGGTCATTTGCAGAAATGTGCAAAATTACAATGTTATATTTAAAGCAATTATATATTTAATTTTACATCATTAATATCACATTATTAATGCATAATAAAAGTCATCTCATGCAATGAACTAAATTCTTACCTTGTGCCACACTGGGATACATGCAAGTCAGCAGCAGGAGAAAAACCAGGATTTGAAACTTCATGGCTGAATGCTGTGTTTCCATAAAAGCTGCAAGAAAAGACAAGGACTTATTTAGTGCACTTTTGATTTTATTATGTGCATCCACTAACCAAAAACCTGTGGCTCTAAAGTGCTGAATAATGGCTATAGACTGCAGGTCTCATCTTTACCTCAGAGATTCTCAGAAGAATGAGGTTTTCTTCACGGCAACAGCTGCTCTTATCTCCTCCTCTGTTTCGTTAACACTTTTATAGCAACAAAACCTGAGACTCTGTCACGCCCCATCACATTTTGCCTAGATTTTACATTCTGTTGCATTAGAAGATGTTAATAAACGTGGATCCCGTCGATTGAATTTGTTGTTTTGACAAATCGCAATTGAATTAAGAGTTCCCACATTACAAACATAAACAGGATGCCTGATGCGCTATCTCTAATATGTCAAACCTCTATATTTGGTCAGCAGAGAGATGTTTCAGCATGGGAGATGTAACCACTGGGAGTCTGGAGTTTTTTTTACAGCCCCCATTTCTCGCCCCTGCTTAACATTGCACAATACAACATCTCTGCCAAATCCTTCCCCCCCATAAACATCTGCTTTAGGACTTTTTATAGCCTGTGTGCCAGTACAAACATGTGAAATGCAATATTGTGCAACGAGATTCCCCTAAACTTTTGAAAATGTCCAGCGGTGCATGTTGTGCGTTTATGTCAGTGAATTTCTTCCTCCCTAATGCATATCTCAACTCTGATGTCCATTAACTGTCTTGGTTCATCTCGGCCTTGACCTGACCCGAATCTGACCTAAACCACAGCATTTTGGCAGCATCTTTCGGAAGAGCTGTACATGTCTTTGCTGTTGTGACAGTGATCTTTGCAGGTCTTTATCAGCAGGACTCATGGTGTGCCAGCAGCAGTTCTGCCTCATGAAGGGGAATTCCATTTTAATAAACAGCATTTCACCAGGAGATCCTCATCTTCTGGTGCATTTTACTTCTTACTGACACTTCCAGGCTGGAATTCCGCAAAAAAAAAAAAAAAAGTGTTTCATATGAAATTCGACTTCTGAAATTCGAAGTCTTAAGGGCAGTAAAGCAAGGGACAGATTTCTTAAAAAAATAATAATAATTCGCTACTAGCAAAGAGAACTCCATGGTTGCTTTCAAAGCATGTTAGAAGACACTTCAGTCTCTTCCGGGACCAACATTTTGTGTTTCCCATAAAAACTGATGGCTGGAATGTTAAATAGTCCCATATGGAGAACTGTTTTCTTGATTAATTTCATATAATTGTAAATGTTTCTTTGTTGTTGTCTTGTCACAAGAAAGTTCTCCCAATGTTTCTTGAATTCTGCAGAAGTAGAGCTTTGAGCATACTACACTACAAAAAGGATATTTGCATATTTTATTTCTTCATGACATGCCGTCAGTCAATTTATAATAAAGTCATATTTCTAAACCGTTATGTTACAGATGGTCTTGAGTTCATATGTCTCTTATTTCTGAGGCCTACAGTAGAATTTATGAGAATTTACTCCACTTTCCCCAATAACTGTCAACATTCCATATTCTTTTTGCATTGCTTAGAGCTGAAGTAATGCAGAGGCTTTATATTCTTACATTAATGAATTTAAAGGCACAATCATACTTATGTTTCTGCTTCTGGACTCTTCAGTCCTGTGCATGACAAACTCTTCAAAAATCAAATGAAATACAAGTGTAAAATTCATAAACAAGATATTATTATTATTATTATTATTATTATTATTATTATTATATAACAAGAACCCTATAAACCAGGAGTCTCCAACCCTATTTCATTCGAGAGCTACTTTTTAAAAATGAAAAAGCATTGTTAAATGTGCTGGAAATACATACATTGAAATCATTTCACCAAGTTTTATGTGCAAAACCAACTAATAAAATTAGCAGCACTATGCACTTTTTGTTTGCATAAACATTGCAAAAAAGAGAACCGGGTTGCCAATTGTCAATTAAAAGTAAATATTTTTTTGGGTTTTGAAATTAAAGTAATTAAACCTTGAGTGAAAATCGGGGGGAGAGCCTCATATGCTTTCTTCAAAAACCTTATAAATGATTTAGAGAACTGTTTATAGAACTCTGCGGTAACCCCGTCCGTTTTGGGTGATTTATTGATTTGAAGTTCTATAATTGAGTTACTAACTCAATAGTCTTGCAATTTTTTCAGATAGTCTTGCCATTTTTAACAGACTCCAGAAAAGTACAGGCTGCCTCGTCAGAATATATATATATATATATATATA